TATGTATACACATATATGTATATGTATATATGTATATACAGTATGTGTATATATGTACGGTATATAATATACGGTATGTATATATATATGTATGTATAATGTATGTATATATATATGTATAATGTATATATATTAGGAATTTTCCTTCAAAATCATGCGATCTTGACCGAATCCCAGCTGTCTTGATTAAGAAATGTACTTCAGTTCTGCCTGCTCTGACTGCAATCATTAACAGCTCATTATATTTTGGCGAGGTTCCTTCATCAATGAAAGTGGCCTAAGTCCGTCCTGTATTAAAGAAATCCAGGATTGATTACAATGTTCTCTGTAACTTCCGACCAATCTCCAAACTTAGCTTCCTTTCTAAAACTACCGAGAGAGTTGTTGCTGCACAGTTACTTTCTTTTTTAACTACTAGATATTCATCAATCTGCTTGTAGATCTTACCACATTGTTGAGACTGCAATTGTTAAAATTCTCAACGATCTCTTATGCAACATGAACGAAGGAAAAGTTTCTATTTTAATCCTTCTCGATCTCTCGGCTGCCTTTGATACTGTTGACTATCAAATCCTAACAACACGCTTAAAGCTCATCCTTTGGAATAACTGACAAAACACTTAAATGGTTTCGTTCACATTTAAGTGATCGAACCTCATTTGTCCGCATTAAATGTGACACTTCTAGAGAAACCTTGAAGTTTGGGCTTCCCCAAGGATCTGTCCTGGGTCCTATTCTATTCTGCATGTATATCACACCTTTAGGCAAGATAATTAGAAAACATGGTTTCCAATACCATTGCTATGCTGATGACATTCAGATATATTTTGCGGTCGACCCCTTACATTCGGCTGTTAATGACGCAGTATCTAAAGTACAAGTATGTCTGGATGAAATCTGCATTTGGCTCGACTCTAACCTGCTGAAATTAAACGAAAAGAAAACAGAGTTCATGCTGATTGGTTCGAAACACAATTTATCCAAAGCTGGAACTCACCACATCAAGATTTGTGAAACTCTAATCAAACCATCACTCACATGCAGAAATCTTGGCATTCTTTTTGACAACACCCTTTCAATGGTTCAACATGTGAACGCGGTTTGTAGATCTGCTCGTTTTTCCCTTCATAACATCAGTCGCATCCGAAAGAATATAAATAGTCACATTGCTGAAATACTATGCATTTTTTCATAACTTCAAGGCTAGATAACTGTAATTCCATTCTGCACGGATTGAACACGTCACTCATCACTAAACTCCAACGTGTCCAGAACAGTGCTGCTCGACTTATAACTCTGAAGAGAAAACACGATCACATAACTCCAGTCCTCAGGGAATTACATTAGCTACCAATGAAGCAACGTATCACGTACAAGCTAGGGATGCTCATTTTCAAGCCTTTGCATGAAATTTCACCGGTCTATATCAGCAGACTTGTGACCCCCTCCCTCCACAATCCATCTCGATCAGGCCTCCGCTCGGCTGATCGCTTATTGCTCGCAGAATACAGAACCAACAATCACTGGGGATCAAGGGCTTTTAAATTTGCCGCTGGAAAAGTCTGGGACCAGCTCCAATTCGACGTTCGAAATTTATCTTCACTCTCTGAATTCAAGTCTGAATCTTTTCTTTTTATTTCTCATTTTGAATAAACTCAATAACTGCTTTTCCCCGTCTCTCACAGGCCGGCATTTATTATTTGGGGCCACTGTCTCGAATACAACTCCTGAGCACCCGGTCGTCTGAGGCAGGGCAAATGTGTTTCCCGTTCCTTCGTTCGAGCCACCCAGGCAGAGGTCCGGGATAGCGCCAGGGTGGTGATGGATGGTGACCCCGAAGAGTATTTGCATCTTATTTTGCCTATCTTTCCCATCCATGTCTGGTCCGACACAAATAAATATACATTAGTGATTAAATAAATACGGTAATTAAATTAATTAATTCACATAATAATGCGGAAAATGGCTACATGTACACTCGGCAGGTGGAAAACGGCGCCGCGAGCACCCCTACTAGGGATGGATACGTGCGCCTAACAAAATGACGACATTATTATTATTATTATTATTATTATTATTATTATTATGAAACTATACATACAATTTATGCAAACAATCCACTTTAAACAAAAGGCACGAACTCCTTTCAAAATGCAGACACCGTGCCAAATTCCTACTCAAAAGCACATAATACCTAATTTGCATCTACACCTGCCCAACTCTACATATACACGTCAAATTTGAAACTCCCTTCACTCCTAAAGATTGCCTAGTGCATGAAACAGCCTGTACAGTGAAATTACAAGTTCCCTGTTACAAGTATTATACTATTATTATTATTATTATTATTATTATTATTATTATAAAAAAAATACTTATAATGGTCACATTATTAAGAAGACACAACAATAATTGTTACTTAAAATTATTAGATTTAGAAGAGCCAGTCTGGCCGAAACTGTTTATAAGGTAACATTATCTACCATGTATATATTAATACGGTACGGTAAGTTGTAATACCCCATCTGTTCTATGCAGCGAAACAATGTACACTCTTGAACGTAACTTACGAAGTTTGCAGAGATATGGATTCATCAAGAACAGTTTGATTTGCAGAGACTTTGAAAGGTCCATCTATAGAATAAGAATTTAGAGTTTACTTGCACCAGGTTATTTAATCAAGGCACTAACATTAACAAATTCACCTAAATTCAATGAAATATGCCTATTTCGTATTTTTAATAATGCGTCTCATTTAGTTTTAAAAATTACCCAGATTTAATCTAAAAATGCTTTCATGTCTTAGCTTGTTCACTAATGGAAACATATTACTTTTCTATGAGTAACGTGTACTACTGATGTATTTATTTTTCCATAGCGTTTATACTTTTTATATTGATAAAGATATCGATACCTTTTGCGTCTGGGTCAACTGAAGCCGATAATGTGACACTATTTGGGTCAGAAGATAAAGCAACGTCGGAGACTTCTGTTCCGTCAAATGTTAGGAGAACTGCAATATAAATATTAAAACATTATCTGCGCAATCTATTATTTCTTGGGTTTTCGTACAGGTTACTTACTTTTGAGAAAAAAATATCATGTTGCAATGCGCAAAACAGCAGAAAATAAAAGTTTAAATGCTGTCATAGGTAAGTTTCTAAATGTTTAACTCAGCCCCAACTACACCAAATAGTCTCTACATATGTATATGTATATATGTATATGTATATATGTATATGTGTATATATGTATGTGTGTATGTATGTATGTATATATGTATATATATATTTATATGTATATATGTATATATGTATGTATATATATATATGTATGTATATATCTATGTATGTATATATGTATGTATGTATGTATATATGTATGTATGTATATATGTATGTATCCATCCATGAGGCCTCGTGGGATCTCCTACTACTAACTATCATTTTACTATCCAGTTCAAGTGGGTCCTTGAGAGGCCACGACGTGGGTCGGGCCCTTCTGTGCTACACATCACTTTATTAAACGCCTGGAAACGATAACTTTTCTATAATAATAATAAAAAAAAAAAACAACAAATAGACCAAAATGCCACAAGCAAACTCTTTGGCAGATTTATTAAAAAGGGTCAGTCCAACTACGACATGGAGGTTTGACAAGATAAGTAACACCTGTGTGTTTTCTTTGGAAACGTAATAAATATAAATAATAAATGTACATTTGATTAGCTGACTGATTTGTTAAAATATTAATAGGCATGGTCCTTCCCTTTCACTGGTGCAACGACGAGTCATAGGACTCTGGGCCGAAAAAAAAAATCTTAGGAGCACCTTGCACATCAGTAAATATTTCTGCTCACGAAGTGACCGGGGAGCGTAACCCCCATATTGTGTGACTAATCCACACACATTTGCGTGCAACATATTTGGCCTCCTTCTACACACTTATTCTGAAATGTATTATCATTCTTAGTTGGTTTTACTTTTAAGCTTTTGTTATGTATGTTCATATGTTCATGTGTGTGGAGAAATAAATTAAACAAACAAACTTAATTTATGTATATATGTATATATATATATGTATGTATATATATGTATGTATGGGTGTGTGTGCGTATGTATGGGTGTATGTATGTGTGTATGTATGTATGTATGGGTGTATATGTGTATGTATATATGTATATATCCATCTATGAGGGCTCGTGAGCTCTCATGGATGGGGTGAGGGTGGGATCTCCTATTACTAACTATCATTTTACTATCCAGTTCAAGTGGGTCCTTGAGAGGCCACGACGTGGGTCTGGCCCTTCTGTGCTACACATCACTTTATTAAACGCCTTGAAAACGGTAACTTTTCTATAATAAAAAAAAAAACAAAAACAAAAACAAATAGACCAAAATGCCACAAACAAACTCTTTGGCAGATTTATTAAAAAGGGTCAGTCCAACTACGACATGGAGGTTTGACAAGATAAGTAACACCTGTGTGTTTTCTTTGGAAACGTAATAAATATAAATAATAAATGTACATTTGATTAGCTGACTGATTTGTTAAAATATTAATAGGCATGGTCCTTCCCTTCCACTGGTGCAACGACGAGTCTGGGCCGAAAAAAAATGTTAGGAGCACCTTGCACATCAGTAAATATTTCTGCTCACGAAGTGACCGGGAAGGGAACCCCCATAGAGATAAGTGTTAAGGATGAAAAGTAATTAATTATTAGACAATGCAAAAAATATTATGCGACTAATCCACACACATTTGCGTGCAACATATCAGGTCTATGCATATGCATATGCATTCCATTAGCTTGCATAAGTTACATGCTTAATCATGAATATATTGATCTATGTTCCATTAATGTAGCTTTGCCAATATAAATAGGTATTATCAAACAATCATTCAATCAATCGTTTCAGGGGCAGGTCCAGGACACACAGGGTCTATCCCAACCCCCAAAAATGGGAGAGAAGAAAGTCCAGAAAGAAGGGAGCATGACGTCACACTGTAGGCCTACTTCAAAACAAGCCAATTGTGTTAAATGTCAGTGGTCTCCACTACTGCTAAACAAAATTCTTTCTCTATATCCGCCCCTTATGGGTGGATGGGTATATTCAGTGTAAACACCAAGGATAAACTACAAAAGTCCCCAGCATGGTTAGGGCTAATCATCATGCCGGAAGTGGCACTCATAGACTTAAAATGCAAGTATAATTTTCTTTTTACCTTCATTTTTAAAACAATTGGCAAATTTAGACTGACTGGCGCACGAGAACGCATAGTCATTACGACAATGTACACCGACAGACAATCCCCTCTCTTCCGATTAGTATACGGCGTTCTTTAACTTGCACACATTTGCTTCCGGCGAGCGACAGACGACGCAACGCCGTCTGCTGATTGTCAGTGGCAATCTCAACGGATCCTCATTAAAAAGACGATCCATTAAGTCCGTGTCTTCGCGTGCGTTCTTGGTCGCGTTGCCGTCGCTTCGCCGTCGCACGCAGTGATTTTAGAAAACCTAAAGAATGTATTCTCCTAAAATTCAAAACTGAAAGGTCCAAAAAAATCATCTTAAATTTTGGTTTGTTTTTTAATCAATACAGTTTTTACAACCTACAACACATTAAGTGTACTGTAAATTCTGTAGTTAACCTTCAGAGAACTTTATTTTAGAAAATGGCCTAATTATCTTATTGTTTTCGTTAAATTAGATGGAGTTTAAATGTGGTTATATTACGTTAGTTTTTAAGGTTTACTGTAAGCCAATCAGTTACACTTACTATACTATCTTCGTGGTTAGCATAAAGAGAACTAGAACGTCGCTCCATTAAGAGTGTCTCCTCCCCCCCCCCATATGCCTAAATACAGAATTCACGAATGCATGCGATCTTTTCTTCATGCTCGAGGCTGGGTTTCAAGGAAACTTTACAGACGCACGTATACAGACGTCAATCAACACTTTCTTGCTCAACTCAAAAGGGGAACTTGCAATGTTCGTTAGAAAATGAAAAAAATCTATGTTTTATAATAATAATACTACGTCAATTTATAAGGCGCAAATAAACAAGGTGTAAGCACCAAATAATAATAATAATAATAGGCCTAATAATAATAGGCCTAATAATAATAGGCCTAATAATGGTAATATTAATTTTAATATTGGTTGCCTTTTTGCCCTTTGAACCTCTTTCCTTTTGCTGTTTTTGTGTTTGTGTGGGTCCTTTTTGTTAAAAAAATGTTTAGAATTTGATTGTTTGGATTTTTCTGCTTGAACCCTTTACTTTTGCAAAATTCAACCCATTTTGAGTGTTTCAATAAAGAATGATTTGATTTGATTTGAATCGGAGACCTAAGAGATCTCAACGTTTCAGCGCACACAGTGGCTACCACCACTTTATGCAACTGAACTAAGCTACTTTGCTCCCTGGTTATAAATCTCTATATGGTACCATTCCAACATTTAATAATAGGCTCTATTATAGTATTGTAGAAAAATGGCCGCCATTTGTATACAAAGTGAAAAATCAAGTGTCAACAGGGCTTAGGGTGACCAGGAGGGATTAATTAGGATACATGGCTATGTTGACTGTTTCTAACATTCCACTCCGCACAACTTGATTTCTAGGCCTCTTTTTAAAATTTTTTATAAGAATTATTATAATAGTAATAATAGTATTAATAGTAATTACATTACATGCATTACTATAATTAATGTAATTAATAGTAATTACATTAATTATAGTAATAAAGATGTCAGTGGCTTTTCAGAAATCGACGATGGCGACCACTGTGATAGGATGATAATGATGACGATATTACTACTGTGACTGTGGCATCGAAGCCACAGTAGTTGTATCGTTATTATTTCCATCGTATTATAAATTTTATGATAAGGAAATTAATTTTTAACCTAACACTTTTACATTTTAATGTGATAGGTTTAATCGTAAAATATATGTAATCACTAACCTTGGATAGTAAACGCACAATTATCATAATTCCCTGACGAGTCCGTAGCGGTAAAAGAGAACTTGTGTGGCCCAATTCCAAGATCAACAGGAAATGTTTCATTCAGTAATGGTGAGATTGTAGGGATATCCCCGGAGTTGTCACTTGCATTTATTGTTCTTGAATAGTCAACTGACGCCGTGGCCTTACCGTCGTCTGTATCTACAGACTTGTTCGGTGGACATTTTAATGTAGGCTTTTCGATGTCTGAAGCAAGTTAAATACATTTTAGTTATTAATTAATAAACGATCGTTTTACTAAAATATTTGCATTTTATTTAAGTTCTGTCGGTCGTTCAAATGATTTTCAAATGATTTTAAACATGTTGTTAAATGTGATATCTTTTATAATTAGTCTTATTTTGCTTTCCGTTTAATTTATTCTATTTTTATTCGTATAAGTATTTCGTATTTATTTATTAAGGTACGAAAATGTAAGTACAAAATGAAAAGCAAAATAAGACTAATACGAGAGTGGCCAAAATGGCAAAAAATGAAAGCAAGAGATTGTCATCAAAGCTTACCAAAAACCATAGCTATAATATAGTATTATAGAATACTGATAATGAATAGCAAATTAATAAAAAGCATATTAAATATGACATCTTTTAACCATATTTGTCTGAGCTTTTGGCGTAGCGGATCAATTTTTGTTTTATTAAATTGCTTAAAAAATATTGTAAAGCACACAGAGGAATTGTTTGTATGATTCACTATTATATTAATGATAATAATATTGATTTTTTTTCAAGTTTATATAATAACCTTGGACTGTTTTTGTAAACGAGCAATTATCAGTATTCCCTGATGAATCCGCAACTGTAAAATTGTATTTGAGTTCTCCAATTCCAAGATCAGTAGGAAATGTTGCACATGGATCAGGAGAGATTGTAAGGATATCCCCGGAGTTGTCACTTGCATTCACTTTACTTGAATAGTCAACTGACGCCGTGGCTTTACCGTCATCAGTATCCACAGTCTCGTCCTTCGGACAACTTAATTTAGGTTTTTCGGTATCTGTAGCAAAAGTAAAATGTATTAAACTTTAAATTAATACACGATCCCTCGAGTAACGTATTTGCTTTTAAGAAGTACAGTCAGTCGGTCGATCAAATAACTATACAACTTTATAACATACTTTTGCATTTATTTTAGCGTAGCAACAAATGTGTTACTTAGTATTTTTTTTCCCCTGATTTAATATATTTCAGACCTTAAAAGCAACAGATTGTATATTTTTATTCGTATAAGTATTTCGTATTTATTTATTAAGGTACGAACATGTAAGTACAAAATGAAAAGCAAAATAAGACTAATACGAGAGTGGCCAAAATGGCAAAAAATGAAAGCAAGAGATTGTCATCAAAGCTTACCAAAAACCATAGCTATAATATAGTATTATAGAATACTGATAATGAATAGCAAATAAATAAAAAGCATATTAAATATGACATCTTTTAACCATATTTGTCTGAGCTTTTGGCGTAGCGGATCAATTTTTGTTTTATTAAATTGCTTAAAAAATATTGTAAAGCACACAGAGGAATTGTTTGCATGATTCACTATATAACACTAACGTATAAATACTATTATATTAATGATAATAATATTGATTTTTTTTTCAAGTTTATATACTAACCTTGGACTGTTATTGTAAACGAGCAATTATCAGCATTCCCTAATGAATCCGCAACTGTAAAATTGTACTTGAGTTCTCCAATTCCAAGATCAGTAGGAAATGTTGCACATGGATCAGGAGAGATTGTAAGGATATCCCCGGAGTTGTCACTTGCATTCACTTTACTTGAATAGTCTACTGACGCCGTGGCCTTACCGTCATCAGTATCCACAGTCTCGTCCTTCGGACAACTTAATTTAGGTTTTTCGGTATCTGTAGCAAAAGTAAAATGTATTAAACTTTAAATTAATACACGATCCCTCGAGTAACGTATTTGCTTTTAAGAAGTACAGTCAGTATTAAATATTAGCTAATTTAGTGTTATTTAGATAATGTCCATATAGATCATAGAATAACAATAATAATTAATAATAACATTGCAAAAGAAAATCTTAATAATGTGACATAATATATTAATATAGCAGCAATTGTCGAGGCCGTTATAGGTTTTGTAAGACTAACGTATTAATATTATCATATCGCTTTTTTCTTCTCCCACCAAGTTCTTTGACACGTGAATAGTTTGTTAGCTATTTACTGTCTGGCATAATCTTACCAAATTAATTTTGGTGGCACATATCTGGTACTATTTGACTCGTTGTGTAATATATTGTCGATACAGCACCACAATTAAATTACACACACACACACACACACACACACACACACACACACACATATATATATATATATATATATAACACATTTGTTTTTAATGATACGCAATTACTAACCTTCAACCGTTATTGTAAACGTACAAGTATAATTGTTTCTCGACGAATCTGTAGCTGTAAAGTTGAATTGTTTAACTCCAATCTCAAGATGAGCTGGAAAGATATGGGTAGGCTCGGGAGAGATCACTGAATCGTTAGCACAGTTGGTATGAATTGCACTAGCATAGTTAACTGAAGCCGTGGCCGCTCCAGTGTCGGTCTCCACAGTCACGTCAGATGGGCATGTCAATAGGCCTATAGTTGTTTTTATAGCAGAGAATAAGTGAATTTAAATTGATTATTATTATATTCGGTATCATCATCATCATCCTCACCATCCTCCTCCCTTATCATTATTTTTTATGCAAACAGTTTCAACTTTCGTATCGGAAGTGTTTGGGTAGTATATAACTCAGAATTTCTTTCTCTCCAGTGTTAGGAAAACAATAATAATATTTATAATAGTAATAAAAATATTATGATTATTATTATTATTATTATTATTATTATTATTAATGATGATAATGATGGTGACAAGATCGATGCTGACGACCATGATGAGGAAGAAGATGAGGATGATGCTGAGAATGAGGATATGATGAGGATGATATGATGTTGTTGATGGTAATAGTAATGTATTTATAAAGCGCCAATATCACAAAGCCGGAGCAAAACTCAAAGGCGCTATGCATGTTTAGATGTTAAAAAATGTTGATTTATGCTCGGTTTTGAAAATAACACCTAGAGGTGATTCGGAACAATATGTTTGGGAAACGAGTTCCAAAGAGGGGCAGCTAATAGATATGATATGCGACCGCTGGATTTGGTGTTAACTTGAGGAACAATTAGCAAGAAGGTCGGTAATTATTTCTATGTATCCATTTCAATTCTTATTTACGTCTATTTAAAAAAGATGAAAAGTTACTATTGATCAAAATAAATATCAAGTCGTTAATACAATGTTAAGGGAAATGACAATCTACGGAAAAAAGGATGGCGAACTTAGTTATCTTGTCTATGGTCAGGCTTACGTTGGCGGGTAAAAGTTGGACAGTAGTCGAGGACGACGGGATACGGTTATCATTTATTTTTGGGATTATAATAAGAGAGGATTGAAACAGCAGGTTAAATTAATTGAAGAGTATAATCATTATTGAGAAAATGCGAATAATTACGCCAATTGCTGGTTCGTAATCACCCAGAGAATAGAAACTTCGTTTGATACTTAGACACTGACTAAAGACAGTATATTTTTAAGGGCTTAATGGGTGGAACTTATTAAATGCATGGTTATTAGTCGGGCCTAGGACTATTAAAATAACTAAACTATGATAGCGTTGTTAGTAGAAAGTCCGAAGAGTAAATAAATAAGAACAAATGAATCTTGGAGAGAGAAGTCTCGAAAATAAATTTAATATTGGGATGTTAATTACATGTAATTACCATATTTAAATAGGCTTAAGAGAGTTGACATCATTTTACTAAACATAGATTATTAACTACAAAATAAATTCTATTTTAATATTGGTCTTTGGATTATATAATGGTGATGGTAATGGTCTTCTATTTATATGCCGCATAATACATGCAATGTATCTATGCGCTTTATAACCAGTGGCTTGTCTGGAAGTCTGGAAATGTTGGTGTTGATGGGGAGGGGGGTGCGAAGGTGAATTGGGGGAAAAGGGTTCGATGACTAGTTGAGGGGCGCTAATTCGCGAAATACGGTGATTTTATGTGGAAAAGGGTTCGATGACTAGTTGAGGGGCGCTAATTCGCGAAATACGGTGATTTTATGTAATTTTTAACTACTTTAGCTTGATTTTTTGTGGGCTACTGGGAGGGGTGTTGGAGGAGGGGGGAGGGGCTAGTAAATTTTGGAGAGGCGTGCTCCCGGCACACCCCATAGATACGCTACTGTTTATAACCAAATGTTTAGAAGAGACAAAAGAAAGAAAGAAAGAAATAATAAAGATAGTAAAGGAGATAAATTTATATAATAATTATTAACGGATTTTGATGATTTAGACATACGGTTGCATAATTTTTGTGTAGGCTTTTTTCCTTAAAGAACTTTTTGTAACTATGTATTATATTTTTAATATGAGCTTTTTTATATCCTATAATACATTTCGAAATTATTAGCAAGTAGTTTAGATGATGTAGGTGGAGGTGTGCTGGAGTTTCAGGTTAGAGAGGAGGTGGTTGGAACCTTGCAGATACCTATGTGTCACTGGGTCACTGGGGCTATCGAGATTAGCGACAAGTTGGTGCGCAAAGTGGATATAAAAGTTTGCAGGGATGGTTCTTTTATCAAGATACTTTCTCGACCAGTTCATGAACTGATCCTACTCATTCCCGTTGAAGACATGTGTTAGATATTGTACCAGTATGTATCTCTTAGGACTTTATCTTATTATTTTCGTAATTTTGGAAATGCAGAACTTTTTTTATGTTTTTAAGATTAACTTAAAATATTTGTAGTACTGTTAAAGATTTTGCCTTTAAGTTTATATGTTTAGAAGCAGTGGTATCCTCTGTATACCAGGCGGGGAGTGTGCTGTCCCCTATCCCAGTATAGTAGTACTATATTGGTTACTAGGTTACGCTGCTAACGCTCTATCTATGTTTATGTTCGTCTTCGGTATGCAGATGAGTCTTGGGCATA